GAATTCATAAGAAAGCTGTCTGCCAGCTCTGTCCCCTAAATGCACTTATTCATAAGAGACAGCAGTTCCCAGACACCAATGGGAATATGAGCTTTGTTCTCTTTATATACACATCCAATTATTACAAATGAGGTATACAGCAATGCATACATACCAGCTATTAACATATGTATCTTTTCCTGAGAGTTTATGCCTCTCGGTAAGAAAAAAAAAGTATCAGAACAAAAACCTCAACAGATTACAGGGCGAGAAGAAGCAGCGAGTCCTGCAGCAGTGGATAGCAACGAGGATTTAGAGTTTATGATTAAGAGATTGAGGCATTGGGGTTCTATGTGGAAGCCTATGGGGTTTAAGACAACACAATAGAACATGTTAGCTAAAATTGCAAAAAGGACAAAGAATGAATAGACAGAGGGTAACCTGATCAAGGATACAAAGAAAACAGCACTGATCTTTCACACAGATGGCCACAGAAGCTGGCAGAACTGGGGCAGGAAAGAAGTTTAAAGGATTTCCAAAGGATAGTCTGAAAGGGAGAAGGCTGGAAGGAAAGACTCATGTTCCACCTTCCTTCCCTGTCGAAGTAACTGCAGAAGAGATCTGCATGCTCACCCATGGCTGGAGGAACCTTCTGGTCCCCTGTCTGGTTCTCCAGAGCATGAGCATGAATTCCTTCACCCAACAGGGTATCTGGCCCTCTCCTCAAGATTGGCCAAAATCAAAGCACCTCTCTCCAATATCTTTGCTGGAACAGTGTACTGTCTGTTCTCGGAAATTACTTTTCAGCCTACTCTCTGGAGAAACAGCTCTGATGTGAAAAAAATAACGGCCTACGGAGCTGAAAATTATCCTGCAAACATGAAAGTAAAAAAGACACTCCACAGAGAAGTGAGGCTGATTCTTCCTACTGTAAACGCGAAGCGAGCATCCTTGGTGATGTCCCAGTGCCAGGGAAAGACAGAAGATCTACGGCGTCTACGTGAGGACATGCCTGGCCACCAGAAGTGCCCTTCTTCCTTCGGAGCTCCAAAAGCATCAGATACATCATATTCTGCAAGCTCTTGAAAAACCTGCAGAGAAAGCAAAGAGACTGCTGTCCTTATAAAGGCTACTTACTAAAGGTAAAGTGCAGATAGCAGTATTAAGACAGACAGACATCAGTGCCTTAAGCTTCCTTTACCTGACTGGCTGTCAGCTGAAAACCTGTCTTCAGCAAGTAGACACTCTTATCCACAGTGGCAACGCAGACGCAGCTTGATTTTGCAGCTCTGACCTTGATGTTCACAACATCACCAGGTCTGGTCTCATTTGCTGAGAGCGCCACTGCAACCTAGGAGTTTAACATTAAATCCCATTATCTTGACTCATAATCAGCAGACAAAACTACAAAGAGTAACAAGGCGCCACCCCCTCCTCTCCACAAGCTACATTGACAATACCTGATTTTCAAAGGAGGACTTCACCGTGAACTGCAGGCTGTCTGTAACCCCTTCTCCATTCTCCCTGACATAATACACCAGAAGACGGCCCAAGGGAGCCATGTTGTGAACTACTGAGAACCGGAGAAATGTCATGCAGACTTCAACTTCTGCTGCAGGGATACTGGTAGGTGCTAAAAATAAATTGTAAAGAAGACAGTGTCACTCTCTTCCTGCACCATCCAAAATGCTGCAGGACCCAGAACTCTCCACCCAGGACTTGTATCCTTCCCTGTTGCCCATGTTCTTCTTGAACTCAGAATCATTTTCCTTTCTTTTTCTTTTCCGTGTGTAAGCTGATAGGCAATTAGCACCCGTAACATAATAAGCAGTATGGAGAAGGTGGATAGAGAATGACTACCCAGTGTTTTTCCTGACATAAAATCAAGGAAATACACAATTAAGTTATCAAGACATTTAAAATAAACAAAAAAGGGCATCTACTGTTTCAGAACGCTGCTGAGAGAAAAAGTATAAAAGGGTTTGAAAAAGGATTATGCAGTTTATAGAGCATCATTTCACTAGCAGCAGTTAAATAGAATCGTAGAATGGCTTGGGTTGGAAGGGACCTTTAAGGATCATTTAGTTCCACCCCCACTGCTACGGGCAGGGGACATCTTTCACTACATCAGGTCGCTCAAAGCCCTATCCAACCTGACATTGAACGCTTCCTATGATGGAGCAACCACAATGTCTCTGGGCAACCTGTAAATACACCAGCTCAGAACCAACCTTCAGCGCAGAAATTTATTGCAGATTTTTAAACCATTGATTACCAGAAGCCATGTGGGTACATCTAGGGAAATTTTTTTTACTTTTCCCCTAACTATCTGAAACTGGCTGTTATTCCTTGTACAAACTAGAAGCCCACATTTCCCCTTCCCTTCCCCATGCTAACTGCATGATCTTCTCCTTTAGCCTGATCCATGCTATCAGGCCATCTAACATCCTCTTCCTAGTTCAAGCTCAACCAGCTTAGTAAATTGCCCCAGCCCCACAATACGCTTTCTTTACCACTCAGCTGATCCCAAGCCAAGCATATTAAGACAGACTAGAGTTTTCTTAACAGGGAAAGACTACAGAAAGACTAGAGAAAATTCTCCAAGAGTTATCCCTCTTGGAGATACTTATCTTTTTTCTATATGACTACGTGTGCAATGGAGGTCACTATTTTTCTCGCACAGAATTATTCTATGCCCTTTAAGGAGCAACAAATTCAAAAAAGAGGATACTTAGGTTTACAGAAAGGGGTTTTTTCCCTGAAAATAGGGACAAGTTTGCATTTCTGACACTAGCTACCTGTTCCTGGGAAGTGTGTGATATCAATGTTCTTCTCAAAGGGAAAGGTGGCTCTTTTGCTCCTCTGCTGGGTGATGTTACTGGACTGCAGTCCTGAAAGGACAATGTTGCCTCGCGATGCCACTTCATAATGTAGGGTGAAGTTGCAAGGACATGTGGACTTCACTGCAATCCAAGCCTCCTCTCCTACCTGCACCCAGAGACAGAAAAGCAAAAGATCTGGTCTGTTACAATGCACACTTTTTATTTATAAAGCACAGAAATCTATTTGGGTTTCAGTCCACAAGAGATGCGACCCCTCTCCTAAGAAACGTATGCATTGAAAAGTATATTACATTAGCACAGTTCTCATGGACTTTCTTCACAATAAAAAGGGGCCTGTGTTCAGCTCTTCACTCCCTGCAAATATAACAGGAGAATGGGCTGGGGGGTTGTATGCATTAATGAAAACAATAAAGGAATCTCTGGAATCCTGAAAGTTAAGCCTTTTGGCACAGAGCAGCTGTCAGAATCAGTTGAATTTTAGACACCCCTTCAGTAGTCCAGCCCAAAAAAGAAAGAGATGGGTTGGGGGTGGGAAGAGATGTGCGTTTGATAGTCTTTGCAGTTTAATTGAGATTATACACAGTGATTACTTTCATATGGCAAATACTAATTCAAATACAACCAACGTGGCATGAAATTACTGGGAATAGATCTGAGGGAAAATGCTTTCAAATTACACAAGTCTTGATATTAATTTGCAAGTCTGGCACTCAAGGAGCTGTCAAACAAATAAATGAGAAGAGAGCTTCTTTTTTCTGGGTAAACTCTGATGCCTGTGACAGGTTTCAGAGCAGCACACTGACTTCCTGCACTCTTGTGCGGTGAAGTTCTATACCCAGAGGTACTCGCTAAGTACTGAATCCCCTGGAGACAAAATCCCCCAAATACTGCCAGTCTTGACAGAACAAACATTGGTGCTCAGTCACGGCATTAGGACTAGGACATGTCTGGCTGAGTCTGTGGAGCAGCCGATTTTCCTAGGAACACAAACTTCTTGCTTCTGGGATACAAGGAACAGCTAACACTTGTATTAAGTAGGATTTCTCCATCAACTTCCATTCCTGATCCTCCTGCCATTTAAAGCATAGCAATGCCCAACTAAGACTGTTAAGGCTGAATAGCAATGTGAAATCCCAATGAAATCTTTTGAAAAACCTCTTTCTTTAGCACTAACACTTTTATCTTTCCAGAATGTACATGTGGTACAAACCAAAATGGCAAGGACCTGAGTACAAAAAGCTGCTAATGGTTAAATACAGTGAGAATGCCACAGAGTCCAAGAAGTGCCTCGTGACATTAAATATTTGAAGTATTAAGAATTCCCCAGTGCAAATGATGAAACAATTCATTAAAAAATGAATGTAGCTAATTGGAACACCCAGTAAGAGCTGGCAAAGCAGGGAAACAGTTCCCACATCAGCTGGTCATCCAACTCCTAGCTTTCCCACAGAAGAATTAGTTCTAATCAGGTTATAATAAGAACAATGTGTTCAGATTAGCAGTGTATAATCCCCTTTCCATACCTCAGGAAACTTGTAAAAGATTAATTAGCCATTAAACTACCATGAAATGCAATGATAAAAAAATGCTTTTATTCAGATACAAAGAGTCTGAAACCAACCTGACAGATCTGCTGATAACAGAAATCTAAGTGTGTACATTGCCAAAACCTGCTTTTTTTTTTTTTGCAAAGCAATATGCAGACCCTCAGAGCATCTTCTTGGGTAGAGAAGAACCGTAAATAACTCAGTAAAACAATATGCAACAGAAATCATGGTTAAATCAGAACTTCCCTTTAGGAGAGAGATCATGACAACTTCTCTATGGAAGAACTACATTTTTAGAGAGGCTCCAACAAAAAAACCCAAGATAACTATGTTCATAGTTTGATAACTAAAGACTAAACAGATCCAGCTGAGATTTAAACTGGCAGTTCTAGTAAGACTACATAGCCCTGATGTGGATCTTTAATTAAGCTGCTCCCACTAACTTCTCTTCCAGTCTTTCAGTGTTTGTTGACCTGAACTAAAGCATGTCGTTTTCACCCAATGCTTCATATGTGAGTGTTACTGGATGGGCCCAGAACATACACTCAAACATGAAAAACTTAAATGTTGTCATTACCTATATCCATCCTCTCCCCCTTGTCCCCACAACACAGAGAGAAGGAGATGCTGCGCAAAGCATCAAAGGTACTTGGCTTAGAACCATGTGCAGCCCACAGTGAACAATTATTTGGTGGCTGAAATGCAGCTACTTCAACCTTTGTAGTGGAAACAATAAACAGTCCGGGATCCCAGAAACAGAAATGGCTAGAAATACTTAATTAGAACAAAGTACTTTAAGCCAAGAAATGCAGTTGTTGCCATGCTAGAACATGAAGCCAACATACCTGGAAAGGTTTATCTGGTGCCTGGAGCTGGATGTGACACTTGCTGGGCGAGTACCAGCTACTGATGGACAAGTAGTTTGGCAGATACTGATCCCCAGACGGTTTCCCATCAATCGCTGTCACTTTGGTCTTAACAAAAGTTACATCTGAATGTTATGCATGCATAAAAAGCCCAACTTGTACTCTCTCTTTACCCTGTATCCCCATCTCCCATTTTATACTTTCCAGCTGTTCATCTCTTGTCATCTTTACATGGCAAAAATACTCTCCAAATATCGGACCCCTACTACTATGGTTAAGCTGTATTTGGAAAAGCATCTTTTCATGATGGTTATCAACATCCGTTCTATCTGCAGCAAGAAACAAAGCAAGTGTTTGCTGCATTTAAATGAAGAAGTTGAAGCTAAAAGGCACTGATTTCCTGTTTGTAGCACTGATTTACAAAGGGCAGGTTTGACAAGATTAGTTACATTAAAGCCTGCTAATCCTATAAAGAGCTTTCACCCACCTCCAGCCAGACATATTGGGCAGCTGTAGGGATGGAAGGGATTTCAAACTCCACCAGGCCATTTCTTGATACCAGTTCACTTGTATAAACGTTGTCCTTTGGTGTGAGTTCAGCTTTAATTCGGATAGTGACTCTGTCAGCTGGACTTCCATCAGGGTAAGTGACTTCTACCTACAAAGTGTTTAATTTACAGAACAATAGATTTTATATTATAGGCAATTCCAGTCAATGACAGAAGCAGCAGGTGGGAAAAACACACCAGAACATGGTGTAATATCCTGGGATCAAGTCAGTATAACTTTGTATCAGTCACATGTCATCAGGGCGTCTACTTTTACTGTTACCTTTCCTTTGTAAGGTAGTCCAGGTTTGAATTGCTTTCTGGTATCCTTGGAGTACTTGATATCAATCAGCTGTTTCTGAACAGGTGTGGAGTCATCAAATGTAACCTGCTTGCTCCCATCAGAGCTGATCACTGTGGCCCAGATATTGACCGTGCCTCGAAAATGTTCCGGAACATCAGCTGGCATCATGTCTTTCACACACACATCGAAAACAGCAGAGCCATCAATCTGTGAAGTGTGTTGGGGAATGGAAACACAAGTTTGCATTCATTCAAAAAGGATCTAGAAGCCAAACCTAAAGCATAGGCAGTAGATAGGAATTTGCAGCACTATTTTTAAAGGATGTGGAGCAGAGGGAATTTGTTAGGGAATGAGTGAAGGAAGGAGGGAAGAAAGCAAGTTTCATTTTCCTCCCTTATCCAGAGTCTGGACTAGCTCTGTAACAGTCCCTCATTCTCATGTTCTCCCTCAGCCCTGTATGAACTAAAACCAGATTAATACTATGCCAACAAATTCCCATGCCCCAAATCACAAACATACCATGTAAAAATATGTAATATTTTTATTTAGCTGGACCCAATTATCACATTTATTAATTTATTTTCTGATCTCCCACCAGTAACATAAAACAGAGCTGTGGTATTCACTTCAAAGAGTACAGATCGAGCATTTTATCACAGCTGACTCAACGGTCTCCCTCACCTGTGTGGTCTTAAGGACAGGGTGTCCCACTTCATGCCTGTAGTACCCTACGCCATTTATAGTCATATTGACAATTAACTTTCCTGTCACTGGTTTTCCAAATGTATATCTGAAATGGAAAGAAGATAATGAATAACTTCTGGAGTTTTCTGCTTTCCTGATTATATCAAGGCTAGCACCATGTGACCTGCACATCTAGAAAGTTATTGTTAGCATATTTTACGAAGGCTCTTACATTGGAAAGCTTCTGATGATGACCAGCAATCAGCTGCAGATGAGATGCAAGCTCCAGTGACTGCACCATCCTGTGGCTGTACTACAATCCACAGGAATGAAACTTTATTTGGGACATGTTCCTACCTGGCATGGACAGTTCCTTTTTCGCACAGTGAAAGGTCACGAATGTAGCGAGGGGGATCAATCAGCAACTCAAACTTTGGTAATACTACAATGAAAAGAAATACAACAGAATCTTTTCAAGGAGATCTTGCGGTCCAGAGTACAGCAAAAGCATACACACCTCTGACAAGATCACTGCTTATGGTCAGATGAGGGCAGTGGAGCTAACATTAGGCAGGACAGCACTCGGCAGAGAACGGATCAACAAAAGTAGCAAATCAAGACTGTCTTGGCAAGATGACCTCAGCAACAGACCCTTGGACTTTTACTTCTTTTCAGAGGGATCTCTGTTGCAGGATTTGAGCCCAAGATTTTTCTCTTAGATACATGGTAAAGAGGGCACCTCACTACAGACTCCTCCACAATGTGTCGGGAACAGAGCTGAGATACTAGCAGTTGTCAGTGTCTATAAACGCTTGTGCGATTAGGTCAGATGCCATAGATGGTGTGCTGGGTGTAACGATGCCCACCTTTCATCACAGAGAGACTTTGAGACTGAAAAGGGGGTAGCAAAAAAAGAATTCAAAATTCCAAGGAGGTCTCTGGGAAAGGACGGAAAGCACTGACAGACTGAAAGAATCTTAAAGAGTTTTCCAAAGCAAAATTAAATCTTTCTTACATGAATAGATCATGCAATATGACGCTCCATTTCAGGTCCTTTACTTTATGAAGTGTGGAGGACATGAACAAAGGGCTTGGTTAAGTTGTGTCTATATCCCTGAAGTACATAGTCTCTGAAGAATTTTTCCTCGTGACATTTTAAATGCATTATTTCTCAGGTGTTTCATCTCAAGTAAAAACATTTCATAACATTTTGTTCTTCCAAATACGCTTGGGTTATAGTCAAGGTTGATTTGGATACAACTCACCATATTTCTGAACTTCAAAGGATTTGTTGTACGTGTGCCCCTGCATTTCAGCAAAGATGAGCCATTCACCAAACACTGGCTGATCAGACAAAGGAAAACTCATATTTACAATACCTGAAAAAGAAAAAAACACTCTGTGTCACTCATCAGCCCTTGTCAAGGCTTACTGAACACAACTCAGTATAAGCAGAAGCAAAGGCAAACAACAGTACACTGAGAAAAAAAAACAAAAACCCCAAACTTACCACAACAAAATGGCTTCAAATTGCTCCACTCTATCATACGAGACCCTCGAGGATCCTGCATAGTGGTTTAGGAATGAGAAACATCACAGTAAAAATGAATATCACTAATACATTTAACTCAGTTTGCAACAAAACTTCATTTTGCAATACATACACTTCACTAACAGCTTAAATGTAACTAAAATCTACCCAAAATTTTCTGAAGATACTTTACCGGGGGTATTTGCTTTCTAAAATTCAGTACTCATTTAAGGACACTGCTTCTATAGCCAATGCACACAAGTAAGCACTGTCAAGCAGCAGATCTTCCACCTATCTTAAGACACCTATTTTGGGATGGGATGAACTGGCCTCTGAAGATGCTTTCTTTCTGTTCACAGAGGGAGCTGTACAACTAGCAAGACAATTTTTAGATGACAAAGTCAGATGAGATTAATCCCGCTGTTTTTGTCAGCATTAAATCTGTGACTGAATGCAAACAAGGGAAGAGGGTGAATTCTTCTGCTTGCTGACAGCTAAAGAAAACATATGGTTAAAAAAAAAAAAAAAAAGACTAGACACAGAAGGAACCTCTCATTCACCTCATAAGGAAGAAGACAGGAGCACCCTTTCCTTGCCATGAATTTCTATTGTCCACTATCATAATGTTTGGGTGCAGAGATGAGATTGGCCCTGCTATATCAGCCCAGCCAGATGAAGGATAGGAGTGTGTCTGCATTGAAAAGAAGGGAGAAATTGAGTGGGACTGTTACATTTATAAACCCCAGTGAAACTAGCCAATTCTTCTCAGGCTGGAAAATGGGAATGGATTTCTGAAACTGAAGTAGAAAACAAGTATATTCGTTGGTGATAACAAAAAAGCAAGACACAAAGATCAGTTAAAGACACAGGGATAGAGATAATGGCATAGGTTACAGTTGGGAATGGCCATAATGGACTTGAATAGGTACAGACGTGTGACTTGTTCCTCTTAAGGCTACAAGAAGCTTGTGCCTCTGCAGGATACATGCTAGACGATTGGCAGACAGATACTCACCACCACATAAGCTTCAATCTGAAAGAGAAAAAAAAAAAAAGAATAAAAGGCTTTAAGAAACAAAGCTACTTTTCTGCTTCTTGCGATGAACTGCTGAGTCGACATAAGCGAGGTATGATGCACAAAGTGACAAAGTTTAAACACCTCTTCTTTGGTAAGAGTAGCCTGAGAAACATACATTCATTCACATATCTAACTAGAAAAATACTACTTTGTGCACTACCTAAATACAGTGCAAGTCTCCAAAAAATTCTCCTAACTGCTTTGGCATAGTTACACTGTATTTGCTAGCACTACAAAAGCGTGTATTCTCCTTCAACAGTAACGTGACCAAATGAAAAAAACTGAATTGTAAATAACAAGAAGCAATCACAAGATATGCCTAAGTAGATTAAGAAATTATATTTCTGCAGAAATGTACATTAGAATAAAATACAGGTTACCAAGCATTCCATCATATTTTACAGCATGAAAGAAAAGTTTTCTTTACCCTGTCATTGACTGGTCTCAAGTCAGAAGTCACCGTATAGAGGTTTATCAACACTAAAAAAGGAAAAGAGGAAATTTATTAGTCATCACAGCCGGCACTGAACGGAGTATCTCACCCTAGAATCCACCCTTGGAAAAGTTTTGCCTGAAAGCAGCTCAAGCATCTGGCAAGTTCTCCAAGGTCACTTTACCTTTCTGCTTGGGTTTATAGACAGGTTTATCAGTCTGGATGAACACTGATGATCCTTTGCTATCAATGGTTACTGTAGTATAGTTATGAAAAATGTAGCCTTCCTCTGCTAGATGCCGGTTGCCCCAGACTTTAAGATGTGCTTGCCCACGAAGTCCTGAAGGCACCTAGAAAACAGACCATGAGGTGAGGGTTTTCAGCTTTCTGGGGAATATAATTGACACTGAAGTGAGCAAAGAGAGGCCACCTGCTGCATTTCAGTGTAACTATGTGTTAGTAATAAAAAGAAAATGAAGAACATACTAGACCTTTTACAATGTATAAACTTCAAAGGAGGCAAAGTCATGCTAAAAACATGACAGGAAATTATCTTCTACCCTTTCTTTATCACTCAAGCAAAGTGATATTTGATCTACATGCAGAGCTTTCACTAAAGAAGGTGTGTTACATGGGGAAATCAACCATGCTATGGAAAACAGCTCTACCGACAGAGAAAAAAAAAAAAACACCACAAAAAAAAAACCAAACCCCAAACATACATGTTTGCACATTTTCAACCAGTTGCTCAGAAAAGACTTTTAAAATTATGTTAGATTAAAAATTACAAAGTAAAAAAAAAAAATCTGACAATACAGAAATATTATGATAATAGGTCATAACCTGAGAGTGAAAAAATTAAATAAAACTGAAGTCAGCAATGACACTGCAGGTTTTACTCAAAAGTGAGATAGTCTTTGGATAAAGAAAACTGTAGCATTTGGTGTAACTGCTGATGTGTCTTATTACATAGGTCTATATTATACCTTCTTGAAATGAAAGGAATGCATACTTACGTGTTTGTATATTAGCCCAGCAAAGGGGGGAAAGTATCAAAGCCTTTCTAGACCCTAATTCCCAGACACAGTTTAACTACTGGCAGGACAGAGCAGTACCAACATCAGCCATAAAGTAATTACAAAGAAGGCAAAGAAAACTCTAGGGTGGTATGCCACCAAGGCAGAGGAGATCCAAGCAGTCATGGCAGACCACCACCAAGCCAGCTAGACTTCTGTAAATCAAAGGTTTTAATTTACTTATGGACCAATGACAACATAGATGATGCAGTATGTGCAGCGAAGGCATCTATGCTGTGCCACAGTAATACAAGAGAACTGTTCCCAAATATCTGGATCCACTGGAAAGAAAACAGACCTTTTTTTTATGGAACTGCATAGAAAAAGACTCAGTCAGACATGACCAGCTTCAGTCAAGACCTAGTGATGCCCTGTGGAGGGTTTTTTTTTCCCAGGATCATATGCTACAGTGATTATTCTAGCATACTGTCCAGCTCTGCAGGGTACTAGCTACTGCTATTCCAGAAGAACATCACAATTAAATATTTATGATTTGTTCCACCCAGCCCCTTTACCTCCTGTCAGAGATGACAACTCCAAAGCAAGTCCTGACTAAGAGATCCAACTTTCAAGACTTGTTCTTCAGTCTACCTCTACTTTACCCACATTTGAAGTAATAATCTTCCACCACAAATCACCAAGCATAATACACAATACACCTCTTCCAGCTCCAAATTTTTGATGGCGCATATTCAACAAGACTGAAAACTCATATTGCTTTGAACTTACACCCCACTTTTCAAAGATTTAGAAAGAGGGATACAGACAAAGGTCCTGTACTAGCGTGGAAGCACAGCCAAATTATCTCACAGAAACCATAAAAATGGCTTCCTTTTTCTCTGTTTGGTATCACTTTGTTCTACATACAGCATAAACTAGACTACTTCTTTCAATGAACAGTGAACGCTGAACTGGTAGCATTTAGCTCACTCCTTGGCATGAGGAAGGATAAATGACGCAAGGTGCAAAGCAGGGGAGATCTTTCAGAGGATGTCTTTCTGCTGTAAGAATGACTACCTTTCACTGCACCCCAGATCTCCAGTGTCCTAGGGATTCAAATAAAGCCAGATATTGCTTTAAAAAGTGTGATTTACTAAGGTAAGCATACATCATTTCTTTTTAATGGCTAGTGGAACCCTCTGCCAGAATTGCATTTAAATTCGTCATTTCACTCCACTACAAATCCTCTTTGGAAATAAAAAGTTGCTTCCGTTCCCTCTATCTTTTTAGTGTGGGTAAACTTCATTTCATGGACTATGCTGATGGCACAAATATTACTAATGTCAAAGGCTAAAACATAGACAAAACTGATGAAAGCCTTTGTTTTTTAAATCAAATAGTAGTACCAGGATAACTAGCAGAGACACAATGTTCAATAATTTACCATTTCTATGGATTTCTGTGATTTGTCCAATGCTCCCTGTCACTTACGCAGCAATATCTACTGCCATTCTTATAAAATAATCACAACATAGAACTTTATGTTGAGCAATGAGCCACAGATTCAGCCACTGATTTTCTGCAGTGGTGTAAGGGCCTGACAGATGAGCTTGGATGGATAAAGCTTTGTTCTTTGCACTCTCCACTCTTCCTTTTGCAAAGGTTGCTTCATCCTTAGTGTGTGCACCATAATGTGTCCTGTATTTGTGCCACAGCTGCTCAGACAGCAATGCCTGATGTGGTTGAAGGCAAGTCCCTCGTGTTTTCACCAAAACCATCTTAAAATAATTGACACTCACCTTCAGCTTAATTGTTCCTTTATCTAAAATGAGAGAGAAAGAGAGAGAGTTATTCTTCTCAAGCTAAGGTACTAACGTTTTAGAAGTTGCACTTGAGTGAAAGGAGACCCCATGTCACAGAGCTGCTAAGTGCAACACCCCTTCATTATGATTTCACCTGAAGTAATTTTCATGCATTGTGTAAAACAATCTGCAGGGTGAGCAAGTCAGACCTAGCAGAGTTCTCCAAATTAAACGTGGTCCACATTTATTTACAGTTTTTGCCCAGGGTAAACTGCAAAGTGCTCTATGGTTAGAGAGTACCACCAAGGCTGAGGTTTCAGCACAGGCCATCCTATGCTTACAGAAGTATTTTGATGTAAAAAGGACCTGGCCTCTTTTGGGACTTGAATAATTCTCAAAACAAACATTCATAGAATCTATTTTGATTGCTGGATACATCCATACCTAAGATTTCTCCTTAGCATATGTTGCCCACATGTGTAAGCATCACTCCCTTTGAATGACTTAGCAATTGTCAGCCAATTTCAAAGACGACAAGGGGAAGATAAAAACAGAGACAATATGTTCTAAGAAAGGAAGTGGCTTCTATGTAACTCCCAGTTTTCACACACAGAAGGGTTAAAACATGATGGTTAAAGAGCCTAATTGCCAGAGCCTTGTCTACATTACAGCTTACACCACTACTAGCAGTGGTAGAAGCGCTACTGGACTTAACACTGAATGAATTTATGCTAGTGAAAATGAAGTTGGACATAATCAAAACACTTTTTTTCTTTACACACAGGACAGAGAGGTCTTGGATTTAAGAGACTTAGCCAACTGCACAAATATTACCACCTCTCTCAGCAATACTCAGTCCTGAAGATGGGCAGATTGCATTTCCAGCACTCATGTTAAAATAAGGGTAGAAAAGGATGATGATGTGGATTTTACATTTTTCTTTAAAGTCAACTTATCTTATTCCTTATACAGCTCCCCAGTGTCAAACATCCAGGTTTCAAAAGGAAATATATTCACTATAAAACTCCTAGATATCAGTTATCCAGGGTCTCTGTATGTCTTGGTGTTCCAAAATTATTGGCCTTGGATGTTTGGGATCACATACATCAAAACCATATTAGCACAATCAACTGAGAACGTTTAGCAGTAGTCAGTGAATTAAATATTAGTTTGGTTCTAGTTCTGTTATCACCTAAAGAAATTCTCTAAGAGCTATTGATGTGCTCCCACAGCACCTCAACTTATAAACTAGTTTGCAAGTTCAGAATAACAGGAACTTACCCAGAACTGTTCCATGGCCTCGTGACACAGTTTCTCCTTTGACTACTAACTGAATCTGGACTGTTGTCTCCTTGACAGAGTTAAAGATGGTTACACTTATAGCTTCCTCAACACCAGATCGGAAAACAGAAGGTGCCGCAATCAAATAGCCCCTGAGGAGCAAAATTGGAAGTGGACAGTCAAGAACAGCAGCAAGAGTGTGATCTTTATTTATAAGCCACTTTACGTATAACAGAAGGAAAAGAGCAGACTAGTCTGTAACATGTTTGCCCCATAGGGTCACATTTGTCCAGGCCTATACCTAATGTACATAAAATGAACACAGAATGCACATAGGAATGAACAGAGCCTAAGTGGCTTACAAATGCTTAGTATTTAAATAAAGACTGTAATATTGATGTTTATTGCACATGTATTCTATATATAAATTTCTTTATATATTCTATATAAATAAACTACATATGCAACTAGCCAATCATAAAAAGTCTGAAGTTCATGAAAGAATAAGGAGGTACCTGAACCTCCAGTAGAGTTTGGTAGATAATGCCTTGTTTTGAAACAATTTAGATACTTTGACATTTTTGCCTAAATTATTTTTCACAGCTCTGCTTTCATAGTTCAACTTGATACATAAAAAAAGAAGTGACTCTCGGTGCTGATACTCAGCACTTTCTAAATGTCAGACCTGCATACATGTAACACGTCTAAACTTCCAATTTACACAGAAGCAGCCCAGAAACTGCAGTTAAAAGATTGGGCTCAAATTCTCAGTTCTGCTACCACTTTTTTTCTCAAACAATTATATCCCGCAAGTTTAAAAATTCCAGCAAGAAGGAACTATTTTAGCAGGCACACGCACAGTTTTAAAGCCACCCTAGACGACCTCCTGTATATACTACAATCCTTGTGTTTCTGAATGGAATCTGCACCACTCCTCTGTGCTGAATGGCACCACGCCATGAACTTGTCAAGTAAAAGCACTACAGACTCTGAGCTCTTTGATGCGTTGGGCTGCAAGCAACACATTTATATTCTCTTCATGACACACCTTTCTGGGGTTTTTCCTACCCAAAAGGATTTTTTTAAAACAAGGCAATTCCTCACATGACTCTTTAAGCCCAATTTCTCAGCCCATGCCTTTCTACAGTTCCAAGAGCCAGGTTGCTTTAGTTCATGATTAATTATCACTTTGGGATGAGGATGATGGTGTTTTACAGCCCCCAAGTCATCTTTTATCAAATTCCAACCCCATGTTTCTCTCACAGCAGGCCTCATTGCCATGGAGATCCCATTACCCCCAAAGGAAGTTCAGATCTCTGTGGCATTTGAGTTAAATTGCATGGGGTACTTACAGATTCAAAACCTTATGGTTGCCAGGTTTGAAAATTCAACAGAACAATAATAAATAACAATAAAAAGTTACTACTTAGCCTGCAAATTCTTGGTAAGAAAGACATAGCTGATCTAGTTGCCGTTGGAAATAGCAAACTATTAGGGTTCTGTAGCACAGCACCACAGTGCCATATGTGAAGCACATGTATTCACATTGTTCTAAATTGCTGCAACTCTTTCTGAAGCATCAGTCCATTGATACAGCTATTTAAATCACTTAGTAAGTGGCATTTGAATATTAAATATTTAACTTGGCAATTCAACAGTTAACTTGACAGTGACTGGACAGATCCTTTAAGCACATTTGACTAACAGCTCTGTCAGGTTACACCAAAACTTGGCAGGACGAGAAAAATTTTCTAGTAAGCAAGTGAAAATAAGTTCTCCACGGCACTCAGTTAATGCAGCTATTCACGATGTTGATGAGCTATAATAAGCTAGGGATAAAGAACAAAGCAAACCTTAATCAAAGTTAACCTAAACACACTGGAACAAGCTGTGGATTCAATTTCTAAAAGCCAGAGAACTTTCCCCGCAGTGAGATGTTTCTCCCCAGATGATTTTCCCCACAAGAATGTTTCACATGCTCTTCGGGAGCAACCAACATTACCTTCAACCACCCCAAGCACAACAGCAACCCCTGCGCAACACCCCGGATTCCTTAAATAATTGTTCGCAGATAAAAGCTTGCAGCCGCTTGCTGGAGGAGCTAGAGGCAGGTATTTCTAAGGAGGCTTTCTTCTCCCCCCCCCTTTCCCTGTGCTATGCACTTTTGCACCGGCGAGTACAAACGTGCTGCTGGGCTCGGGAACCGCCGCGGCTCCCCTCCCCGGCCCCACCCC